TAGAAATTGTCACAGGCCCATTGTGATGATTCTTACTGAATAGGGTTTCCAACTCTACTAACATGATAAAATTTGATCTGAATTATTATGGTAACTAGTGTGAGAAAAACGAAATTGTTATTCTCTGTAATTGTTTGACTTATAGGTGCTGATCTAGTGCTAATGGACTTGGGGAAAAATATTGTAAAAGTCTATACTTCCATACATTTTTATAGTTATAGTGTTTTACTTTTTTATATCCAGTAGATATTTAAAGAGTTTTTCTTCCATGTTCCAACCTGTGTTTATATGAATTATGAATCAGATTTTTGATATTGTGGGTGGGGTTAGGTGGGAAGTTAATAAGTGTAGGAATCAGATTACTTGCTATTTTCTATCTAAAGCTAGTATACAACAAATTTTCCTTTGTTTTTCATTTTAGTACTTTAGACAGCAGACCAAAGAGTAGCAGCCCTATCAGATTACCTGAAATCAGTGGTGGCCAGACAAACCGTCCTGCAGAAGCAGAACCACAACCAAGTAAGATTAAAAATGAAGAAGTATTCATAATTAGTTATATTTAAAATTATGGTTTGAAAAAGAAAACACATAAAAACAAGTGCCATCTGGCAAGGATTTACTACTTCTGGTCTTTGAAATATATATAAATTTAAACTTTTTTTATATCATCTTTTATAGATATTTTACTTTTCCTTTTTGATTCTTACCTTAAATGTAAATCAGAGTTACTGAATTTGAAACACTTAGAAACTCCTTGGTCTATGCAAAAAGCAGGATCTTCCTTCCTAGAGCTTTCAGTTTAAAATGTACCACCTAAGTAATAGCAAGTTACATTTTAAATTTTTTTGAGTTTTATAGCCTTATTGGCACTATGAAAAGAAATTTTCATGCATTATCATCTTAATCCCTACAATAGCCTCAAAGTATTATTTATTTGTCATATCCTTATTTTTCAGAAAGAAAATTAAGGTTTAGATTGAGTAACTTGCTCAAGATTAGACAGTCAGTGATGGAGCTGGAGTTGAATTTGGGTTTGGGTCTCTTTGACTTTGTCAATTAGGAATGTATTCAGCTACTAGTGGCAGAAAATTAACCTGACTATAAGGGCTTAAACAAATAATAGTTTGTTTTTCTGAAATAATCGTACCTGGACATGGGCAGTTGCTGGCACTGGTCTAGCTGCTCAGCATTGTTATTTCAGTACAGGGATAGTTTCTCTCTGATTCTCTTAAGTTTCCTCACAGTCAAAAATGTTTCATTTTTGTCTACTTTCGTGGCAGAAAGAAGGGTGGTATGAGCTTCAGCTGTTCTCTTTTATTAGGAAAGCAAAAGCTCCCTCTTTAGTCTCATTGGTCAGACCTAAGTCTCAGGGCCACCTCTGATGTGAAGGAGACCGAGAAAGCAGGAGGCAGCACATCCTGGTTGGCTCAAATAAATTATGACCCATTTCTTGGGGCTCACACATAGCTAACCCCTGCTCCCCAAAATCAGAATTCTGTTAGCTATAAACCAGATAGGAGTAGGTACTAAGGAGGCCATAATAGTGTCTACCACCCTAAGTATAGTTTCTATGGATTTTATAAATGGTAAATTTACAAGATTAGAATCATACATATTAATAGTATGATGAATGAAGCTCAAAACTAGGAATAAAAATATAGAGCAAGCTTTATTAAATTTTTGGCCATCCTATGGCCTTTTTTTTTTTTTTGGGAAGAATGCTAAAAACGAAATCTTTTCTTGTGTTAAAATGTAGGAACACAAATGACACAAAGATGTTACCTTTAAGTGAATTTTTTTAGCTTGTGAAATTGTTTTGTGTTTGTTTAATTAGCTATATTGCAATATTATAAGAACTCAACCCTAATTTAATCTTGTTACTTACGATATTGACTGTCATTGAAAGATATTTTTGAAAGGGTTTCTAGAGAATTTCTAAGATTTTTATACTCAACTAGCTGAGTATTGCTTTCCATCTGTGTTTCTAAGGGTGCTTGACTACTCAAAAACAGCAGCACATGGAATAATAATCTGTGCAACTGACAGTATCTGCATTACTCAGATTTGTGGTTACTGCTAACAAAGGAATGAATTGAAATTTTTATTTTCCAGTTGCAGTGACCTGTACTTAACATTAATATGTTATTTTCTTATTTTAAGCCAAAAAGCCTTCTGGAATGTTGTCCTTCTTCAGAGGGACAGCAGGAAAAAGCCCCGATCTCTCTTCCCAGAAGAGAGAGACCTTACGTGGAGCAGATAGTGCTTACTACCAAGTTGGGCAGATGGGCAAGGAGGGGACAGAGAATCAAGGCATTGAGTCTCAAGGTGTGTTAAAGGAGACCAAATGTACTTATTCTAGGCTTTGATTTATTTATTTTAGTTGTTTATGTTCCTTATAGCCTTATGTAGATAATTCTTACTGTGGAAGCTGCGGCATTCCCTCTCTTCTCACTCCTCAGTGTGGTAGAGTAGAAAAAGCATGGAACTTGGAGAGTCCAACTGTTTATAGATTTCATTGCTATCACTTGTAGTAGTGTCAGAAATCCTTAGGTTCTATATCTATAAAGTGGCAAAACAATGTCTTCCAAGGTTTACATGACATTACACAGGTAAATCATCTGTCTCACTATGTAACTCATAGTATGAATATATACTCAAATGTTTTCATTCTGCTGTTCCCTTAAATGTTTTCATTCTTTTCCAGTCCCTGTAAGGTTGTGGCTATTTATGTCCACCTTCATTTTGATATTTAAAAAATATATCTACCTCATTGTGTTTGGTTACGGGTTTAGACCAGGAATTGGTAGACTGTGCTGACCTGTTTTTGTAAATAAAGTTTTATTGGGACACAGGCCCACTCATTTGTTTCCTTATTGTATGCTTGCTCTCACATTATATTGACAGGTTGAATAGTTGCAACTAAGTAAAATATTTACTATCTGGCCCTTAACAGAAATAGTTTGTTGATCCCTGGGTTAGACCATGATTAGTAGTTTAAAAAATAGCGACTGCTATAATAAATTTTGATTGGTAATTAAGATATCTGTTTAGTATCCTATAGGCTGCTATTAGGCTGTAGGTGTTTAAATGTGATCCTTGGAAGGCTTCAATGTTTGAAAAAATGATTTTGAAATGTGAAACTTAGGGAATGATTTGTTCTTCTAGATATTAAGATGTATTTCAAATCTACAGTAATTAAACAGTGGATCTGGCAGTAGGTTTCCAGACAAATCAAATACAAAAAATAGCTCTGAAGTAGACTAATATATTTTATATTATTATATGTATATCTTAGTATGTGATAAAGCAGCACAAACTATCAGGGAAGCATTATTCCACATACATGGGGAAATCTAGTCATAAAACTCTGATAAAGAAGCCATGGAAATTCTTTGTATAAGAGCTGAGTTACTATATTTCTATCATAGAAATCACTCAAAAACGTAAGAAAAATTATTCAACCTGAATTCTCTTTTTTAATCTAAAAAATTGAAATTTCAAAAGATATATTGAAATTATTTACACAGTTTTAATTGTATATTTAATGCTTACTTGATAGTGACTTGACTCGGATACCTTTACTTTGATTTGCTAATTTTTGTTATGTTGGGGGGAAAAGGACAAAATGAACTGATAACTACTTAAATCTTTGTCTTTACTATTGATATTAAACCTTTTAGATGAGGTAGATGGAGGAGATACACAAAAGAAACAAATCACAAATCCTCATGTGGAACTTCGTAAGTATGAAATAATATATTGTTGGTTGAGGGAGAGGGACTGTAATTGGGTTAAACGCTATTATTTAAGATTTTTAGTTTCATACTAGATAAATATCCTGTTTCTTCAAATGAATATTAACTTTGCATACTGACATGAGATATCCATAAACTGTAATTTAGTTTATAGATTTACATTATTCAAGTCATAAAGAAATTTAACCCAGAAATTTAATTAAATTATAAATTTATAAATTATGCTTTTATTTAATTTCTAATATTTAAATATTTACTTATTATATAATCTAGAGCCACAGAGCATTGACAAAACATTCAGAATTGTGTATATGATTGCCAGAAATATATGATCAAGAATAATATCATTTACAGTAAATTTTAAGATGTTTGTTAAGAATTGCTGTAGGCTGGGCGTGGTGGCTCACACCTGCAATCCTAGCACTCTGGGAGGCTGAGGCGGGAGGATCACTCAAGGTCAGGAGTTTGAGACCAGCCTGAGTAAGAGTGAGACCCCGTCTCCACTAAAAATAGAAAGAAATTAGCTGGACAACTAAAAAAATATATATAAAAAAAAATTAGCCGGGCATGGTGGCGCATGCCTGTAGTCCTAGTTACTCGGGAGGCTGAGGCAGGAGGATCGCTTGAGCCCAGGAGTTTGAGGTTGCTGTGAGCTAGGCTGATGCCAAGGCACTCTAGCCTGGGCAACAGAGTGAGACTCTGTCTCGAAAAAAAAAAAAAAAGAATTGCTGTAAAAGTACCATGATGAAAATATAGTAACTAATATAAAATTAGATCTGAGTCTTATTACTGTTTGATATTTTTTCTGAAAATATGTAAGGATGGTCATAAGATATTAATTCCCCTTGAAGACCACTTTAACAGAATTGTGATAAACAGGGATTTAGACTTAACATGAAAAATACTATCATGGAGAAACTTAAATGGTTGCATTGGGCCAGGGCTGGGAGTGGAGGGGAGAAGGAAAAGATGTGTTCTGAATTGTAAAATGTATTTTTTTTTTTTTTAAAAAACTTCTGTTTATAGAATTTTCTGATGCTAATGCAAAGTTTTACTGTCGGCTCTACTATGCGGGAGAGTTTCATAAGATGCGTGAGGTGATTCTGGGCAGCAGTGAGGAAGATTTCATTCGTTCCCTTTCCCACTCGTCGCCCTGGCAGGCCCGAGGAGGCAAATCAGGAGCTGCCTTCTATGCGACTGAAGGTAAATCTTTTTTAGTCATTTACTGATTAATCTCCATCTTTTCCCTTCAGGTGATTTATGAATCACTTGAACTGAGATAGCATGGTATCGTCTGTTGGCAAACTGTTTCTTTTCTTATACTTTGAAAGGATGTAATAAAATACTTAAAAGAATATACGTGTATATGTTTATAATGAGACTCAGGCACTGATCAAGTCTTTACTAAATTCTCTCTAGTTCTGAGTTTTCCAAATATAAATAATAACAGAGAACTTCTAGAAAACTCAAAAGGTTACCTCAGAACTGGTGAGAGAAAGGTAAAAATAGAAATATTTAACCTCAAAATAGAAAGGCCAAGTTCTTAACATATAAAGGTTTACAGAATATCACGACCATTTGTACTTCACATTCCATTCTCTATACCCATTGAAAACGTAATTATTTGAGAACATGCAACAGAATGGATGTTGCTTGATAAGAACTTTCATAAATGTGACTTCCTGGATTATTAACAAAGGAGTTTATAAAGTTTTCTTTAGTAGTTCTAAAAAGTAGATCGTCTAGCAATGAATTTAGGTATGCTACTGTCAAAAGTAGAGGGTTCTTGACTGTCTAAATGCCAGGATCCCTTCTAGCCCTTCAGTTACTGGAGAATTGTTCTCTGATCAAAATTTTCACTGTGACGTCAGAAATATCCCTTACAATCATAAAGCAACCAAATCATTTGAGATCTTTGGAATGATGTATTATTATAGTGTATATTGTGATTGAATAAACACATGAAATTTCTGCCTTTTAGATGATAGATTCATTTTGAAGCAAATGCCTCGTCTGGAAGTCCAGTCATTCCTCGACTTTGCACCACACTACTTCAATTATATTACAAATGCTGTTCAACAAAAGGTAGAAATCCCAAACCTTGGTCTATAATCAGTTTGCTGGGCTTTTTCACATCCTGAGGGTTAGTCCTAATGGCAGTTTTCTCTTGAGGTAAGATATGAACAGGACGTGACTGGATCTCTGTTGTGCTATTTAGGTGTGATAGAATGCAGAGATTTCAACTATATTTTTCCTACCTTTGCCAGTGAGGAGCCAAGTGATCTTGAGCAAGTTGCTTTTCATTAGTATGTAAATAAAAATCAACTTAAGACATTAAGACTAGGTGAAATTAGCTGGACATTCAGTAATTTTGCTGAGACAGAAATTTGAAACATGTATTGAGAAATGAGGGAATGCCTCCTATTAGTAGAGGCCAATGGCCCAGGTTTGCCCACTTATCATTGAGTGGTGACTCGACCCACTGTAAGATTATGAAGGAGTTACATAGGTTTTTTTAAGTTATGATTTATTTTTATTGTTTGTCATTGGGGGAAATTACATGTGCTAATTAAGTGTTTGAATTTGAGCAACTGAAGGATTATGCTTTGGAAGAATGTTAAGGATCTGATATTTCTATTGGCATTGCTGCTATAATGCACTTTTGAGATTCAAGGGTTTGAGTTTCTTTCAAGGTCCTTTGGCTGGTCATATCAATAGAAAATCATGTTCAGGCATTACACAGATAATCCAGGTATCGGTATTAAATTATAAATAACTCTTTTTGATAAGAGTTTACTTTGATATTTTCTTGATTAGAGGCCCACTGCATTGGCCAAAATTCTTGGAGTTTACAGAATTGGTTATAAGAACTCTCAGAACAACACTGAGAAGAAGTTAGATCTCCTTGTCATGGAAAATCTTTTCTACGGAAGAAAAATGGCACAGGTAAGGATATTGGACTATGTGAAGCATTTAGCTACTGGAACCCTTTGTACTTTTGGTCCTCAAATATAATGAATCCGAGAATAACATTTTCTAGTAAATATTTAACTTTGATTGCTAGGCCAAAATTAACTTTTGTTGAGCCTTAGAGTAAAGAATAAAGAAGAATTATTGATGTGGATTGGTCCTAAAATTTAACATATCCAATATTCTGTTATAGAATCACAGAATTGGTAGAATGGGAAGGCAGATCTACTTACTCCATCTCAGTTTTAAAGATTAAGAAGCTGAGGCCTAGAGAAATTAAGTACTTTATTAAAGTCACTCACCTATTCCTAGAACTCAGGTTGATTTAGGTTCTAGAACAGTGCTTTGCAAAGTGCTGGTCCTTAAACTGTTTCCAGTCTGTGATGAGTTAAGGAGCTTGTGCTAGAGTATAATTCGGTGCAGTGCTTTCTTCCTTGAGAACATCTTGCTGTGAGAAAAACAACAGCTGAACTAAACAGTGTACTTAAAGATGTAATTGATTTACATGCTGGCACTAGTTCCCTAGTATCAGTGTGAGCTGGGAGCAACTGACCAGTACTGGTCTGTGAAGTACACTCCAGGTTGTACTGGTCCTCTTTGAGCGCATTGCTTTTCCTACCACCCAGATATTCCTGGAATGATGCTGTCGCCTCTACGTTGCCATTATAAGAGTTTGATATCAAAACTTTGTTTCCTAGACTGTTTGCATCTCTCTCTTTTTTAATGCTGCTTTTATGATCTGGATATATTTTTGGAGTTACTTTCGTTAATGTATCTTAAAGTTGATTAAATTGGCCAGTGTATTTCTGAAATGTTTCAGTGATTGAGTACCCGGGTATTAATTTCATATGATACAATCATATTACCATAGGTTGGGTGCAGTGGCTCACACCTGTAATCCTGGCACTCTGGGAGGCTGAGGCAGGAGCATCGCCTGAGTTCAGGAGTTCCAAGACCAGCCTGAGCAAGAGTGATACCCCGTCTCTACTAAAAATAGAAAAAAAATTAGCCGGATGTGGTTGTACACATCTGTATTCCCAGCTACTTGGGAGGCTGAGGCAGGAGGATTGCTTGAGCCCAGGAGTTTGAGGTTGCTGTGTGAGCTAGGCTGATGCCATGGCATTCTACCCAGGGCAACAGAGTGAGACTCTGTCTAAAAAAAAAAAAATTAAAAAGAAAAAAACAATTATATTACCGTGTATTTTATATATTATACAATTATATTAGCATGTATTTAGTGACTTAAGTTATACAAATTATTAAATTTAAGGATTGAAAGTGTATGTAATGATAGTGACTACAGGAGTCTTTCTGCCTTTTAAATTTAGTTAAATTAATTAACCATTTTTGGCAGCTCACACGTAAATGACAAAGATTTTCTTTCTGCTAGGTTTTTGATTTGAAGGGCTCACTTAGGAATCGAAATGTAAAAACTGACACTGGGAAAGAGAGCTGTGATGTGGTCTTGCTGGATGAAAATCTCCTAAAGATGGTTCGAGACAATCCTCTGTATATTCGTTCTCATTCCAAAGCTGTGCTGAGAACCTCGATCCATAGCGACTCCCATTTCCTTTCTAGCCACCTTATTATAGATTATTCTTTGCTGGTTGGGCGAGATGATACTAGCAATGAGCTAGTAGTTGGAATTATAGGTAAGTCAATAAGTCTACCTTACTTAGAGTTCATGATTGAAGCTAGAGTAAAACATAAAGATTCTATTGAACCTGGTCTAATAATACCTCATTGAGTATTTTTACAAACTTTCATTTGAAATTTCCAAAAATAATGGTTTTTCATTCTAGCCCCTTCTATTCACCTTCCTCATGTCCATTTTCATTATCTTTATCAAAAAACGTGAGTTCAAAAAGTCACTATTAGCTGGATGCAGCAGCACATACCTATAGTCCCGGCTACTCAGGAGGCCTAGGCGGGAGAATCACTTGAGCCCAGGAGTTTGAGTTTGCAGTGAGCTCTGATGATGCCACTGCTCTCTAGCCTGGGCAATAGCGTGAGACCCTGTCTCCAAAAAAAAAGTCACTAATAAATGAGGCCCTTTGTGATTGTTAGGAAGATTAAACAAATTAATATGGAGAAAGCCCTGAGAAGAGCACCTGACATATCATAAGCACTCCATGAAAGTTAACTATTTTAGACATGGTAGTCATAATCATTTGCATGGCTTTACTGCTAATTTCACCCCCCTCCTTCTACCCTCAGATTATATTCGAACATTTACATGGGACAAAAAGCTTGAGATGGTTGTGAAATCAACAGGAATTTTAGGAGGACAAGGTGAGCAGAATTTTTGTTTTGTTTACTCCTTAAATTGTTCTCGTGTACTTCTTATTAGTTAAAATTTAAAAAGTGGGTACTGATTCTTTGTTTTTAGTTCTAAAAAATAAGTGACTATCTCTTAATTCATTGTCATTTCCAAAATGACCAAATAATAAGGGGAATACTATAGGTAGGGAAATATTGGGTATAAATTTGTGTTAAAATGCCAGATGTTCTCAAAATAAAAAGTTAAAAAAAAAAAAAGCCAGAGGTTCTGAATAAGAGGTTGTTCTTAACACTTGAGATCTTGTGCATTCTCTAAGCACTGCTAATCTCATTTTGCTTTTAAAAATCTCTCATCACTAGGCAAAAGCTAGTCTTTTAAAATAGAAACTCTTATCAGGCAGGACCCTGTCCCATGGCATGTGGCACAGTTGATAACCTTACCTCCTCATTTAGACTGCTCTGGGCTGGAGTATGTGTCTTTATGGCAGTTTATAGGAAAGAACATAGTTGGTTGCCCGATCAATTTATAACAGCTTCTTTCCCCTTTTCTCTTTCATAATCTTAGGCAAAATGCCAACTGTGGTCTCTCCAGAGTTGTACAGAACTAGGTTTTGTGAAGCAATGGACAAATATTTCCTGATGGTACCAGACCACTGGACAGGCCTGGGTCTGAATTGCTGAAATCAATCAAGCACATATTTTGAAATGGACGATAAAGGAAAAGAGGGCAGGAACAAAGGACCAAAAATAAGCTACATGTTTTATTTTTTTATTATATTCACCACTCTGTGCAAAGGCCTTTCTGTGGCTCTTTAAACTGTCCATAATTTTGAAGAGTAAAAATTCCATGGATTTGCACTTTGGTTTTTGATACCTGCGGATTAGCTGTCTGTAGGTTGGGAAGTTGCATGAAAATTTTCTCACCTAAGACTTCAAAGGAATAAGGTTAGAGATCAGTAGATAGAGTGAAAAAATGGGTTGTCATAGTTGCTAACTTAATTGTTTTAAGAAGAAAGCAATGTCTCATAGATTGTGACTATCGTGGTGTTACATTTGACATGTTCTTTACTTGGAAAGCATTTGTAAAGCTGCTGAATTTGTTTTGTGTTTTTTATGAAATAATTTCATGTTGCTTATTATCAGAATTTCTAAAACCCTTAGAAAAATTCTGATTTATTCCATTAATGGCCAGTTAAACAAGTTGGCACTTAACTGTTTTATTGAGAAATTTGACTTAAACTGGGAATCCTGTGAGGTTCTTTATCTTCGCAGTTTGACTTGTTCTTGAGTGTGTTTAATGTTTTAAAAATTCTGTCTTCTCTGCGGGTGACAGGTGGCTATAGCCATTAACTTTAAGCCTTTTTTGGAGCTATTTTTTTAAGCTTGTTTAAAACTTTTATGTAATTAATGTATTAAACTGTACTTACCTGCATATTCTCATATTCTGGGTTTTCCCTTCATTGTTAGGGAAACATAGTTATCATTAGTAAATAAATCTGCAGTTATTAAG